GTTATTGTTTGGAGGGAGCGTCCCCCTCCCTAAGGACATCGGGAGATCTCTAGAGCTGCAACAGTTAATCGATTTAGTCGATTAAAATCGACGATTGAAAACGTTGGCAACGTTTTAGATCGTCGATTCGTCGGCTATCGATTGATTTGCCTGTTCGGGGCTCCACATGCGGCCTGAGCCACACGTCACACGCTGCTCCCGCCCACCGCATAGGACGCTGAAGCCGCGCACGCTGCTGCTCTACTCATCGACGCGATCTCCCTCACTCGTCGCTGGCCCGCCGACAATCGAGGGCCCACCTTCTGCAAGCAAGTCAGTGGTGGAATAGGTGTACGGAGCTGCAGTGTGGAACAGGTGTGCGGGGATATAGTGGTGGATTAGGTGTATGGGGGTGCAGTGGTGGAATAGGTGTATGGGGGTGCAGTGTGGACCAGGTGTATAAGGGTGCAGTAGTGGAACAGGTGTCAGTGTGGAACAGCTGTGTGGAGAGGCAGTGGTGGAATAGGTGTATGGGGGTGCAGTGTGGACCAGGTGTATGGAGGTGCAGTGGTGGAACAGGTGTAAACCGAACTTAATAATCGGCCAACTAATCGATTATGAAAATAATCGTTAGCTGCAGCCCTAGAGATCTCCTTCAGTGGTTTCCTCTCTTCTTTGTCTCTTAGCTGCAGGGTCAATTTTGGCGAAAAATCTGTCTAATGTCACTTGTTTTCTCCTGCATTGCAGAACCCTCCGGAAATGAGAGACCATGTTGTCATTCATCAGATTCAAGACTCTGTTCGTCACAGTTATGTTGGGGTGGTGCTTCTCAAAGAAATCCTGGCACTCATTCCATTTTTCCATTATGGATGTTATCACATCACGGCTAACCTCCTCCCTTTCTTCCTCGGTGGAATGCTCCTCAACAAGTGTCTTCTGCTGCTCACTCTGGAGTTCAGCAAGTTCTTGCGTCGTCAGCTCCTCCTTATGGTCCTCAACAAGCTCCTCTATGTCTGCACCATCGATGTCCAGACCAATAGTCTTGCCCATGGACACAATCTCCTCCACTACCTCTTTCGTGTCACGTTCAGTACTGGCCATAGTTTCCTCCAGGCTGAGTTCAAGGTCCGGTACGTGACATCTTCCCATGCTTTGTCAATGAGGTTAATTCAGTGGACGACATTTAAATGTTTCTTCCAGAATTCTTTCAGAATCAGACGTCTCTTCAGTGACATTAAAAAACTTGGTGAAGAGCGCCGTTGTGTACAGCTTCTTCAAGTTGCAGATCACTTGCTGGTCCATGGGTGCAGAACAGGTGTCGTGTTGGGGGGGGGGGGGGGGAGGAACTTGACCTTTTATGAAGTCATATTCAGCGTCCATATCATCCACCAAGGTTGGAGGGTGTGCCGGGGCATTGTCCATCAGAAGAAGGCACCTCTCAGGCAGTTGGTTGTCAGAAAGATATTTTTTGACTGTGGGTGCGAACACCTCGTGCAGCCATTTCATGAACAATTGGCTTGTGACCCAAGCTTTCGCATTGGCCCTCCACATGACAGGCAGTCTGGCCTTGTTCACATTCTGTTCCTTGAATGCACGAGGGGTCTGGGAATGGTACACCAGTAGTGGCTTAATCTTCAGATCGGCGCTTGCGTTCGCACACATCAAAAGGATCAATCTGTCCTTAATGGGCTCGTGCCCCGGCAGTGCCTTTTCCTCCTGCGTGATATAGGTTCTGTTCCGCAGCTTCTTCCAAAAGAGCCCTGTTTCATCGCAGTTGAACACTTGTGGATCGACGTATCCTTCTGCCTTCATGAATTCCGCAAAGTCTTTCTTGTAGGCTTCTGCAGCGGCCTTGTCAGAACTGGAAGCCTCACCATGTCTTATCACACTGTGGATGCCACTTCTCTTGCGGAATTTTTCAAACCACCCTCTACTGGCTTTAAATTCATCACTAGATGAACTTGTGGAGGGGTTTTGCTGCAGCAAATCACTGTGCAATTTCCTGGCTTTTTCACAGATCATAGCTTCACTAACACTATCACCTGCCAGCTGTTTCTCATTCAACCACACTAACAAATGTTTTTCCACCTCTGGAAAAACCTCTGCTTGTTTAACATGGTTACTCCTTTTGCCACATCAGCTGCTTTGATGGCATCTTTATTCTTCAAAATAGTCGAGATGGTCGACTTCGCCATCTTGTATTCCGAGGTCAGATCAGTCACACGAATACCAAGATCATGCTTTTCTACAATTTCCTTCAATTCAATGGTCATTTTCTTTGAAACCTTCTTGTTTGTTACTATTCTTGCTCTGCACTTTCTTTTTACCACCATTCTTGCTCTGCACATCCTTGTCACCTTCGATAACGCTCTGCACATTCTTGTCACCTTCGATAACGCTCTGCACATCCTTGTCACCTTCATTAACGCTCTGCGCATCCTTGTCACCTTCATTAACGCTCTGCGCATCCTTGTCACCTTCATTAACGCTCTGCGCATTCTTGTCACCTTCATTAATGCTCTGCACATTCTTGTCACCTCCTCTGCGCTTTCTTTTTCCCACCACGCTTGCTCTGCACTTTCTTGGGAGCCATGCTGGATTGAATACAGTAATACTGTACAGTACTGTGGTACAAAGCATACAAAAATGCTTCACAGTAAGTATCCACAGCCCTGCCTGCGACCGCAATCTCGAGTACAGGAAGCCACGACCATGTGTCAGAGCAGGGAAGATGGCCGTGGTCGTGTTCGTCACCTGAAGCAGAGTTCGCGAACGGGGGCAAAATTTTGACAAACTTCCTGGTCGCGAACCCAATTGTTCGTGAACAGAGGCGTTAGTGAGCCGAGGTACCACTGTATTAAAAAAAAAAGTTTTTCTAACAATGTTACTAAAATAAACGGAAAATGTTCTTAGTATACCTCTGAAAATCTGAATAACTGAACAATAATGATTTAAAATAAACTACTTGATGGTTTTGTCTTAGGTAATTATCTTAAACTCTGGTAAACAATGGTGTATTTGTGAGGATGTATGCTTACATAATATAATTAGTACATTTAGAAAAAAAAAATTAAAATGCTGACATGAAATATTTCACAAAATGGCATTTTATCCCTGCTAAATAAAAATGATTGACCTTATCTCTATGGACTCGGTGTCTTTTTTTTCAACCTGACTTTCTCTTTCATCCTATGCAACTATACGGAAGAGCCCTGGGGCCATGCTAAAAAATATATGAAACATAATTCTGTGTTTAAAAGTCAGAATTCTGACTTTCAAACTCAGAATTCTGACTTTCAAACTCAGAATTCTGACTTTCAAACTCAGAATTCTGACTTTCAAACTCAGAATTCTGACTTTCAAACTCAGAATTTTGACTTTCAAACTCAGAATTTTGACTTTCAAACACAGAATTATGTTTCAAATTGTTTTTTAGCATGGCCCCAGGGCTCTTCCGCACAACTATGAGAATTGGTAATTCATAGTTTTAAAATTCTGATTATCCACATGTAGATTTGTCTGATGTGCAGAGAAGTGCACAATGAATTGTAGGATTCTCGACCGATTGGCAATATCTATGGAGTCTAAGGATTTGCTGCACACTTGGTTGTCTGTATTTTACAGAATTCACGCTTGGTTTTAAAGAGAATTTGTCTTGTTTGACCATCATTTTCAAAGGCAACTCGCCAATAATATTTAGCAAGATTGACTGACTAGTGTTTGCATACAACAAAAAATAGAGATTCCAATAACAAACAAGATTCACCCACTTGGCCATAATTTTCAAAGAAGATTCATCCAATTGGGTCAGGTTTTTAAGGAGGATTTGCCCTATTCACCCATCATTATCAAAGAGGATTTGCCCCTATGTGTAATGTGGTGGCTAATGGGTAAAGCTTGTTAATGGAATCTCTCTAGTATGTTATTTGTGTCTGCTGATGGGTGAATCTTGTTGAATTTAAATGTGGATCACTCATTTGAATGGGCTGCCTAACTCACCCAAATGCACCAGAATAGCTGCATGTAGCATTCTTGGCATTGCAGCACATGTTAGTGTCTCGCAAAGTGCATGGGGGGGCATTCATTGTGAATGGCACCGCATTATATCAACACATATTGCTACAGTGTGAATAGACCCAAAACTACACAGACTAATGCCATAATAGGCATTACATGTCAGGCTTCTGACCAATATTAACATTTCCCTGCATGTTATGGAGGGGAGGGGATGTTCTTCAGGCCTACCAAACTTCCTGTCCTAGAGTGACAGCGGTGCTCCTCCATAATTACAGAACAGTGAGTGAGCTAGTATTGTCACCAAATGCAGAAAATGTGTTACTGGCAAGATCTCAAGTTGAAAAGGGATTAAAAAAAACCCTGGAAAATAGAAACGAATAAAGCCAACAAATCTAAGGACTGGTAAGCTGCAATGTATTCATGTTTTTGTTATTGGGTTTAAATATGCTTTAAATAAAAATAGTTTTGTCTGTGCTCCTAGATATCCAAATGTTTTAAATGTCCTTGTTACAAAGGATAAAAGGTGTCTAGTTTTGTTTTAAATTGTAAGTATATTGTATAAGTAGATTGTCCTTTTAATAATCTTGCATCTTGCACTTAAGTCATGCAGGGTCATACATTTTACTTGTTCCCAGTGATGCTTTTGAATTTTGCTCTTGTGTAATTTTCATAATGGACAGCTTTATGACAGAAGTTATAGCTTCCCAAGAAAAAAAGCAGTATTAATACACATTTTAGTAGCCACATCACATTTACCAGCAGTGCTAATTTTGTTGAAATACTTTGTTGAACCCAGGCAAGAACTTAAAATATTTTCCATCATTGATCTCTTTTGCTAATATTCTTATTGAATTGCTAAAATAACTTTGCAGTCTTTTTCAGTGTTCTTAATAAGGTGCAGTATGACATAATGCTAGGAATAGTGTGAATGGAAAAAGTAAGCAGTGACAAGCTATGCACACTTGATAAACTAACCTTTTTTTTTTGTTCTCCAATTTGTGTAGTCATGGGATGCCTTTTTCCGCAAAGCAGATCCTGGAGCTATTGGTGAAGCCAATCCTGTCCAAAATGTCGATTTACAGAACAGAGCTTCGATTATTCGCAGTCATGGCCTTGCTATGGCAACAGCCAAAGCAGAGAAGCTAGTGGAGGACCATTTGGCAGTGCAGTCCTTAATTAGAGCCTACCAGGTATTTAATTTTTTTACCAAGGTATATGGAAAAATGAATCCCGAGTCTAGAAATAATGTTGAAAGTGTAGGATTACCCATTTTTGGATGGCATAAGGAAGGGATAAAACCCTTGTATAATTTTTTTTTTCTGTCTTTCATTTGAGGGTAATTGTCCTTCACGTCCTGCCCTGGAGATGCAATAGGAAGTGAAAGGAAATTTCTTCCAATGGAAGATAAATTTCCCTCGTAGACAGTTGTCAATGGAACAAGTGTCCCCTTTCGGAGATTTATGTTTACATCTTGTTGTTACGACAACTATTACATTTTTGATTTCCCAAAACTTTCTCTTTCAGAGACAGTGATCACCAAGACAAACAAAGTGGCTGAATCAACTCAGTAGGAACACAGGATGGAATGGAACTTAATGAAGCTCCTAATCCTTCTCTATTCTACTTTCCAAAACTGAAAAAGGTTTTGGCTGTACATTCACTTTAAAGAAACCAGAGCTAAATTACATTTTAAAATAACAATGTACTGATTAGGGCTGCAACAACTAATTGATTTAATCGATTATGAGAAGAGTTGGCAACTATTCTCATCATTGATTAGTTGGTTGAGAGAGAGAGAAAAAAAGAATGAATATTTATCTCCATAATGGAAGCTTCCATATTTTCGAGAGAAAAGCGGGAGAATGTTGTAATGCTTCCACTTTTTGAATTGGGAATCTTTGTATCAGAAATATTATAAAATAAATGTATATTCTTAAAACAATACAATCACTTTCCACTCCAAAACTCCAAATAGATCTACACATTGTTACCGTGGGCTATATATAATGTCCATTAAACTAAAACCATCCTTTTTAAGATCTTACTTTATTACAGCACTAGTCCCCAATGTGTATCTGCAGTCATCTGGATTTACACTCTTGAATTGTTATAGCAGTGCAACCCTATCTCTTAAATGTATGTAAAATCCAAACTTTTTTCAGTTTTCTTTAGAGTAGAGTTAAAACCCCTGCCAGGTACCTTTTTTATATTTAGTTGTTTGTGTCCTGTTAAGGTGATTTAATTTTACTTTCTGTCCCAAAGACACAACAGCAGTGAGAAAAACCTCTCCAAACAAGGAGAGGAGTATTCACCTCACAGTTGTTCCTAATGGAAGAATTGCCATCCCTTGGTGTCAACTCTAAAATTGAGGATTTTCCCCTCGTTTTCAGCACTAAGTACTTGCTAACCCTTCAACATTCTATTTAAGACTAAAAAAATGTTTTGCCTTTAAATACACTTTAGGTAATGTTATTGTTTACTTGTATTCTGTCTGTCAGAGCTCGGTAGTGAGACCATCCTATTTGTGTTTTTATAAATGTTCACAACACCATTAATATTATTTTGAACAGCAAAAAAGGCTAATGTCAGGTGCTAAAGAACATTTTCTCAACTCCCAAATTACACCTGTAAATCATAGCACTCCATTTAAATTGGTTTTAAAAAAATGTGTATATTGTCAGTAGTGGAATATAGTCCAAATATACAGATATTCTCGGAAATCCTTGTAGAGTCACACAGATCGCAATGAAGAATAACATCATAGTCAGTTTCAACCATAGACAATGGCCAGGTGTTTGACAGATTGTATCTTTTTCAGGGATTTCATGATAATCCTAATTTATAACTTTGTACAATGCTAAGTCAAAAAGCATAACAGCATATAGAGTGCATTGAAAAACGCATTCCCAACACCAAGGCAAAATAAAGGAAAACCCAAGGGTGTGGCAGCATTTCAGAAGACTATGGTCCCCCTTTCTTAAGCAGTCTAAACCACCTTTTCAGGAGCACTGAGTATTTCTGACAGTAATGACAGTTGAACAGAGTGGCTGGGGGAGGTTTGTGAAGGTGAGGAGGGTGATGAGGTGGACTTTCTACAAACCCTGTTTGTTTGACACGAATGGGCAAAGTGACAGACTCTTTTACCCCATCCCTTTTTCTGTATTAGCTGAACCCTCCTTGAGCCAGCTTCACTTGAGCTAGCTCTAGTAAAAGGTCTATTAAGCCCTCGTTCACACCTGAACGTTTTGTAGCGCGTTCTACGCTCGACGAACGCTCTACAAAACGCTCAAAAATATAAATCCCATTGTATTCAATGGTCTCGTTCCCACCTTGGCGTATTTCCGCCCGCCCTAACGCGCTACAAAACGGCCCACGCCTGAAAAGGTACATGTACTACTTTGGGCCGTTTTGTTGCGCGTTTCCATTGGGATACAGCCAAGTAGCCTTTGCGAATCGCGGTAAAAAAAACGCGCGACGGTCGCGCATATGCAGTACGCCTAGGTGTGAACGAGACCTTAAAGGCTTTCCTGTCGCTAGTTAAATAAGCGTAAAGTATAGAGTTAATGCTTAGCTGTCTTGCCACCTATGCTGCTGATGTTTGTTCAGTTGCAGAGCTTCGTATCCAACACTACTGGGAGTGTCAGATGCCTAGCCCTCCTCTGTCCACTATACTTTGTCTTATTGCAGTATACAATAGAATGCAGAAGAGGTTTCAGCCAGCTTAATTCTTCAAGAGATCAGCAGCATGGTGGGTGGGAGAGATAAATATTAAACCCTTTTCTTTACAGGAAGCCTTTTTTCAAATTGTAACAGGAATCACCAGCTCATCCTTCATACACTCATACCAGACTTTTGACAGAGGTTTATGATCCATGTGTTCCCCAAAGGAATATGTAACAATCCTGAAGTAAATCAGTACCACCATGTCCATTGTTTATTTATCTATTTAAAATCAATGCCAGTACACAGTTCATGTAAACAAGATAAGGCAGTTCAACCAAAAGGACTGACAAAGTTTGATGCAAACTCTTGAGGTTGAAGTGTGTTATAATGTTTATATGAATTGTGTGCTAGCATTACTGTGTTTACTAAATGGGCAAACAGACAATGGATTTTTACTCTGTGGTGGTGCTGAGCTACTTTGAAATGGTTACAGCCTTTTTTTTTTTCTGATGTCAGACATTGAGGTTGTTAAATGAACATAGACCTAGGATAGGCTGCTGTTAATTGCTTTATAGCCAACTGCCTGGCTCTTTTTGGTTTTATTCATGGCATGCTCTCAGCAGGTGCACAACTACAAGCAGTTTCAGCTACGTGCACTTATGCCAGCAACAAACACTGTGTCTGCTTGTACTGTCTTTTGTTGGCTATGGTTGTTTATGTCCATTGATTATATGCCCTTATGTAAAAAGTGACTGAAACACAATTGAAGAAGTGTTTGTGTTGCTTACTGTACCCAGTCTTTCAGACTCCATGTGTCCAAACCCCCAGATGCAGATTGTTTTCAAAAGAATCCACTAAGGGTCCAGGATTTCCCTCTCTTTTATACAGCTTAGGTAGACAAAGTAGCATACTACAGTAAAATATAAGAGAGATTTGCATATATCTTGAAACTAGACGCAATCCCAAACACAAATCTCCTATAAATGTTAACATGTTAATGAAATTTCAGGTTTTTCATCTTTTTAAATAAGCAGCTTTCAATAAAATAATACCTGGTAATCTTGCCATGAAGGTCCTTGTTTAGGCACTCCCTGGTATGGATAGAGCCTTCTCTTAATTGTACTCCTGCATGTACCTGGTTGCAACTGCTGGCAGCCCTACCAACAGACATTTTGCAAGCATGGCCCACTGTTGTTACGGTCAGGAAGCCAGCCAAGAGCAATAATGTTCTGATGACACAGCAATGAGTTCATATAGAAATCAAGGGACTGTAAAGAGGTTGGAGGAGATCATTAGCACTGAGATTTAATTTCAGCTGCACACTTGCTTCTGAATTATCTGTTGTAAGTTGGTTTTGAAATGGACTTAACACTGTCTGTAGGTATAAAAAAAAACTCTGTTCATTAGGGATGCACCGATACCATTTTTTTAAAGACCGAGTACGAGTACCGATACTTTTGATCAAGTACTCGCAGATACCAATTACCGATACTTTTTCTTAAAGGGACAGGTCACATTTTTTCTAAAGCAATACAAACTAATGCTTTAAGGTCACTTTCTTAATATTATGATTCATGAGATGACAAATGCTTCCCGGCCAATTAGAATGCCAGGCGCTGCGTCATTACGCGGCTTCCGGATTTGCTAGCTTCCTGACCAATCAGGAAGCCGGGCAGCAAGTCATTGCAAGTGACGAGAGAGCATGGAGCCGTTTCCTGGCCAATCAGGAAACCGGGCAGCGTGTAATGATGCGCTGCCCAGCTTCCTGATACAGTAAGTACTCGTGCTAGGTATCGGAGCATTTGGGTGAGTACGAGTACTCACCCAAATACTCGGTATCGGCACCGATACTAGTATCGGTGCATCCCTACTGTTCCCACATGTATGTGGATCCACATGCAGAGGCCACCATTTTCAAACATAAGGATGTTTGGTAAACTCACTACGCTACACGTAAGATATTATAAGAGTGTGTTTTAATGAGAAATATCAAATCATTTTGTACATATGTGACTATTGATCTTCTTGGAGCAACTGAAAATGGCTTTAATACTGTTTGCCCATTGTGGCATGCATGTCTATCTATCTATCTATCTATCTATCTATCTATCTATCTATCTATCTATCATTTCGTGAGGTGGACTGTGGCACCCTATGTGCTTAAAACGTATCTAAACCCAAAACCAGAAGACATCTTTTTTTCTATATACCACTTTACTTTCACTTTAATATTTACAGTAAATGGGATTCAAGTGCAGGAAAAGTAAAAAAGGATCATCACAATCGTCTTACATGCCAAAAAATTATTGGAATTGCAAAATTATTTTGTTAGTTTCATTTTTAATTTAGTTGTTTAATAGGAGTCTGCCTATCCTTATTGTTCTCCCCTGATCATGAAACTTTGTCTTCGTCCTCTGTACCCTGTAGATACTTTTAAAACTGAACTACAGTGTGCGGAAGCAATACAGCAGAACCACTGTCAACCTTTTCATTATCCTTTGTCCTGATCTGGGAATTTAGTCCCCACTTTTCTTTGATGGGTATCAGACCACACCGGAAGGGGAGGAGGGGATCTGCCCACCTCCTTTATATTTGAAGGTTGATGGCTGTCGGAAAAATTGAAAATAAGGGGACATTTCACAAGTAAATATGCCATAAAACACAATGCCACTGGTTACTCATATATACATACTGTGACCTGGGATCTTTAACCACACAGTCTTCAAGGTTGGAAACACCACACAACGATACAGTTTGTTCAAAATAAAGTAATTTGCCTTTTTATTGACAGGTCTGGTACAACAGGCAAAATAAACATAGGCAAACAAAAGTCCTTGCTCTACTGAGTGTTTTCAGAAAGGCACAACTAAATGCAGCAACTTGGCTTGTTCGTAAGGAAAACAATACAAATGGGTGCCGAAACCTTTCAAATTAAGTTTTAGTCCTTTTAAAGATGAGTCCTCTCAGTCTTGCAATGAAAAGTGTTGCAGTATTCCCTTACTGCTTCTGGTCTCTTCACTGTCCAGCTAGCTCTCCAATTAACTCCCCAGACTACCTGGTGCTGCTCATTAAATAAGGTGAGGAACTGGCTGGGCCAGGCAGAAATTTGGGACTGGCTTCTCTGAATGCTGTGCTACACGTAAAATGCATGGTGGAGCACTGTTGGGGAAATATAGACACCCTCTATTACCATGCCTTGGGTTCTGTCACATTACATACATATATTGTAAATGAGACAAACTCAACTTGTAGTGGGAGCGTTAAACCATGCACAACACAGGGTGGGACCCCCAGGAATAGTCCAAGCATGCTTGTCCTGTGCTTTTTATTCAGCAGGGCAACAAGCAGACCGTTTCAATGCAGGAGGGTTGTCAGCTTCTGACTCACAGGTTGCTGGTGCCCCCTAATAGGTTTCCCAAACAACCAGGTGTTGTAAGTTATGATTGATGTATGCCTGCAAGATATATTTGGGGTGTTTGTGGATGTATGCCTATGTGTTAAAGGTAACAAACTTCAGTCTTATGCTAACTAGGTCTTTTTTGTGATAAACATCCTGACCAGTTTGGCCTGTGATTAAAACTGTTTTCAGGGCGGTGTTGACTGTATACAATGGAAACATCTGTAGAGAGTTTTTGTCATGACTGGTTAGCTGCCACTAGTTGGAGGATGTACATAACTGATTATTTTATTTGATGTAACCTGGCAGCACATGCTAAGACTAATTAAGGAGGTTTGGCTATGGACCTAGGAAGCTCTACATACCCTCTGGGCTTCAGGACCCAGACAATAACTTAATAAGATCTGAGACAACAGAAAGCATGTTTTTTATTTAACAGGCACAAATCCTGGATCCCCTCACCATGTGTAGGCGAGAAACCTAGTTGTTGGCAATGGAGCTGGCTCCTGGTTCTTGGGTCAATACCTTTTGTCTTTCATGATTATGAGCCCTATTTTACTGCAGTCCCATGCTATGTATTATTCTCTATTCCCACAAATCAGTACTACTAATATAATTTCCATACCCACCTCAGAACCAAACTTAGGATAAAGGTCTTAACTTGCAATAACATCTACAGTAGATTTCTTTTAGTATTCATGTAAATTCACAGTCACCATTGTGATTCAGGAAATTGTGTAATAGATTTCACTGATTCTATTGCGTTGTTACATGTCTGGCTTTTCCTAAAGGCCTTCATTGAAAAGGCCAAATTAACCTGAACACAGCCATAAATCATTCCCCTGTGACTAATAGACTGATTTAATTTTCTGTCCTGTAGAACAGAAAGGATGTTTTCACTAATAGTACTGTGTCATTAATCCTTTGTATTTTTGTTATAGATCATTAGCATTTTATCGACTGACCAATAAATGTTGAAGTGAGCAACAGTAATCAGGACTGTACAGCTTCCAGAGTTTAGTTAGATTTAAACAGTCACCTAATTTTTTCTAATTAAATTATTCCCCAGTGGGACAAGAGGACTACTTTAACCTTGCCCCTTGTATTCCTCCTTAGACTTTCCTGCCCGTTGTCATCAAATGTAAGTTGCTGAGTCACGGTGATCAAGAGCTCTTACAATAGTAATGATTGTAGGTTACTATAAGCCTATTATAATGTCAACATAATATATGGAATTAAAGGGAAACTAAATGATTTTGGGCCTATTTTATATGTATCTATAACTGTTTTCATATCATTAAACAGCAACATATACAAATAAACATTTAAACCATGTCAAAGGATACACTGCAATCTTGACTTAAAGTAGTACTAAAGACAAGACACTTTTTTTTTCACTTAATCCATTCTCTGCATTAAGGCCTGGTTCACACCTGGGCATTTTACAGCGCGTTCCTACCCATGTGAAAACCAATGATTGCCTATGGGCATGGTTCCCACCTGGGCATTTTACAGCGTGTAGGAACGCGCTGCAAAACGCCCTACGCCCAAAGAAGTACAGGAGCTTCTTTGGGGCGTTTTGCCGCGTGTTGCCATCGGTATTCCTGAGTGTGGATCAGGGTTAACAAAGCGGTAACCCCGAGCTGTGTCTTTTGCGGCTGCCGACTTCTGGGTTCCGTCCCTTGCGAGCGGCAGTGTTGCAGGGGGGGCGGAGCGGGTGGGAAGTTTTTAATAAAGAAAATACTAAAAAAAATCATACCGCCAGTGAAACGCGCGTTTCACTGAACGAAAAAACGCGGAAAAACAAGCATAAAAAAAACGCTCAGGTGTGAACCCAGCCTAAGGTGCAAAAAGCCCAGTACCTTTCTGTGTTTCCCTGTCCCTCCCCTCCTCCCCCCTTACGTGTGCTCCCTTGTCACCACCACTAAGTCTGAAGATATGCTCCATTCCCGAACTTCCTGGTTGTGCGGGAGGGTACTGAGGGAAGAGGAGCGATTGGCTCCTTCTGCCGTCATTCAATCAGTTGGGAGGAGAGGAAGCCTGTAGCTGGCTAGCTGATGGAGACACCCCAACAGTTGTTGGGGGGAGTGGTTTGGGGATCAACTAGAGAATGAGGAAAGAAAAAAAGAACAGCAATATCATAAGCATGACCCTTCTAAACATAAACAAACATGACTGAATGATGTTTAGTTTGCTAAAGCACTGTGTATCATAAAAGGATGTGTTTTTCTTCTGTCAAATACTTGTTTGTAAAAAATGTTTTGACAAATTATGTGTTGTTTCTCAGTGATGCCAATCTCCTGCAGGCTCTTTGCAGCAACTTCATGTCTACATGCATTTACGTTAGCCATGGCTGCATGTCATTTTTCATTGTGCGTTTTCTGATTATGACATCCATGGACCATGCCTGCATAATATGTTTTGAAACAACCACATGCAGTCTACATCAAAGGCCAGAGTGGCATGATGACAATGCAGGAGCATAACTGGGAGACATGGGCAGGGTGTTATCATCCCATAACCCCAAGTGCTTAAACAAGGACTTTAATGGCATGGCAAAACAGTGGAACAGTTGAGATTCAAAGCCCTGAATGCACATACTGCAAGTACATTTACATTTGTTTACAGCCAGGCTATTTATCTACATATTTAATTATGTTGGAAAAAAATGATAAGCCAGTGGTTTTGTCCTTACTTGCAGATCAGAGGGCATCATGCTGCAAGTTTAGATCCATTAGGCATTAATCAAGTCTTTTTTAATGGTTCCGTGGATGAAGATGCAATGGGGCACACAAATATTGGTGAGCATTCTTTTAGCAATAAAGATGATGATGTCTTGTGATTTATTGTTTTCTTTGGCTTACCTCTTCAAATCGGAAAGATCCGTGGACATCATGTGGCTCAGCTGGACCCTCTAGGAATTCTGGATGCCGATTTGGACTCTTTTGTTCCATCGGATCTCATCACCACAATTGATAAACTTGGTGAGAAAGCAAGACTCTGACTTGCCATAAACCGTCAGAAGACAGAGGTCGGGTGCTGGCTTTTTATGTGCTATAAAGTAGCTTGTTTTGTAGTTTGCAGTTTGTATTCACTCCTCACACTGCATAAACTAAAGAAAAGATCAATGTCTTGATGTGCATGTGCTAATAATCACATCATACCTGATTTCCACTACAATGAATACAGATGTAGCCTGAACTACATTTATCTCTTGAATGTAATTTCATGTAAGAATAGTCTTTTTGTATAACAGAAGAAATAAAATATCTTTATACAGTGACAATGGCTACATCTGTATAGCTCGTAGTAGCATGCTGTTTGTCCATAAAACTGTATTTGTCCTTAAATATTATAGTGGCTCCGTGTTGGTTTATGTATGCATGTTCTCCACTTTGGAGTTTATACTTTTTGAATCTATTAATTTTTTTCAATATTTAAATGTTTGTTTTTTAAATTAGTTTTGCCCTAGTCTTTTATTACACCTTTTTCCTTTTCAAAAGGTATCTGTTGTACCTTGGGCTGCCATTAGAAATTATGGGGACCCCGTACAGCCTTCTTGATACTAAATCCTTGTGTAAGCTGTAAACCTTAATTTTGCCACTTATGTCATGGCTTCCCGCATCTGTTAACTCTCCTTATGTCATCTAACTTCTTTTTAATTTTCCTCTATGTATCATAATCCTCCTACACCCTCTATAATGTAATTCTATTTTAGCCTTTACCATGTTTTCTCAAGTCAATCCTCTACATTTAACCATTAACCCCCAGCCACACACTAATCTTTGATACTTGTAACATAGGCAGTTTCACTCTATGTACAATCCCCTATCCATATAGTTCCCAGATCTATTTTGTGTACTGCCCCCATTCTAGACCATACTTCACGCAGTAAAGCATATAGGCACCTTGATCTTCTTGCACTAAAACCTATCCAGCATGCTGAGAGTGATCTTCTTCCTCTTTCTAGCTCATAGGAACACTGATCTCCTCTCTTTACTCCTGTGCATCCTGTAGAAGGCCCCATATCTTCTCTTTATTCTCCTGTCCAGGACATTTACCCCCCCCCAATCTCTTGTTGGTTCTTCTGTCTATAGAATATAGACCCCCTCGATCTTCTCATTACTGTTTGCCTAGCGTGTAAAAGCCCCCTTTTCTTCTCTGTACTTCCCCTGGCCATCCTAAAGTAGTTCACCATTTTTTGTTCTAACAATGTTATGCTGATAGCGGGGGTGGCAAGGTTGGTTTGGATTTTTTAATGTTTTTTTTTTGTTTGTTTGTTTCTTTTTTTAAAAAACTTTTTTATCACTTTTTAATTTTTTTATTTAGTTTTTTACATTTTTATTTATCTTGTCATCTTTTACTTTTTTTAATTTTTTATAATTTTTTATCTTTTTATTTAATTTCATATTTTTTTATATTTTTCTTTCACTTTTTTTACTTTATTACTTTATTTTTTAATGTCATTATTATTACTTATTATTGTTGTTTACTTATTTTTATTTATGTAATTATTTTTTTATCAATGTTTTTTCACCTAACATTATTGCTATCACACAGGAGCTAACAATTCACTGAGTATTAAATTACCGCCCGGAACTCCATGTTCCGGGCGTTGGGTGACTTCAAACCTGTGCCGCCTCTCTGCTCAGTGCCGCCCAGAGGCTGGGCCTCGGTAACCTTGCCGGGAATCCGGCCCTGCTGATAGTAGTCAAAGATCTCCTTTCCGTACCCCTCCAGCTTGTATAAGCCCCAGATCTCCTCTCTGTCCAAGCCCTTGGTTTCCTCTTTGTACCCCTCCAACCTGTCCTGAGCGAATATCCTCCAAATGGTGAAAACCTCAACCTCTCCTCTCTGTAACCTTCCAGCCCATAGAAGCCCAGGATCTCCTCTCCACATCTTTCCTGCATGTAGAAAAACTTGATCTCCTTTCTTTATCCCTTCAGCCAGCAGGAGCCCCCAATCTCCCCTCTTTATGCCCCTCCAGCCTGTAGAAACCTCTAATCTTTTCTCCATGAAAGCTATTATTTGCTTACAGGCTTTAGAATTTTTGGATCTCCTTTTCGTACCCCTTCAGTCTGTAGAAGCCCTGGTCTTCTCTCTTTAGAAGCTGCAAATCTCCACACCTCTTCTGTATATAAGTCCCTCTCTCTGTCTTTGAGCCTTGTAGCAGTCTGTCAATGTCCCCCAGGTTTACCTTCATAGAGCAGCAGGAGGTGCAGCTTGCGGGGCATTGTGCAGGGCCCCTCTGTACACTTAGCTTGTTCTGGCCTCTGCCATTTTTTCTGGCCCGGAGCTCTCTCTCCCTCCTCCTTCCTCCTCTTGGCCTTGCTCAGTTCTGCCACTTTTCCCTTCCTAACATGTAGCTGTGGTAGCGTGAGGGAAACCTGCAAAACCAGCTGATCCCACATGCAACTGAGCAAAGCCATCTGGCATCAACAGCAAGTAATACATTTCCATGGCAACCCATGAGCTGTTTGTACCGGAGAGGCAGCACTTGCTATGCCCAGGCTCCCCTGCTGACCCGATGGGGCCTAGGCCTGGTAAGGGAGAGCTGCATGTATCCCCTATAGGCTGCCCTGGTTGTAGTGTGTGCTTAAACAGCGAATGCTCAAGTAAGTGCTGAAACTTCCAAAATCCCTCAGATCTTAAAATTGAGTTCAGTTAGAAGGGCTGTAGACCACTGAAGATCCACAGCACAGGGGTAAGGGGAAGTGTATTTTTCATACAGTACAGCAGATAACAATTGCTGGTTTTACCAATTTGGCCCTGGCATCCCTGTAGTTGCTGGTCTTTACCTATAGCGTCTGGCCTTGTCTGTCTTTATTTGCATTTGTTGATGGATTTGAGCTATTCCCATTTGTGGTAGTTAAGCTTGTTTGGTATTGCCAGTTTTAGCTTGGTGGTAGCTAGCCATGCCCACTCTTACCTTGTAGTAAGTGGTTGAGTTCAATCTGGTTCACTTGTAGTGGCTGGTCATAGCTAGAATAGCTGTACCTGTCCTTGATAGTAGTTGTTTAGTGCATTTGTAGCCTGCCGTCTATTATTTCTCAGGGCTATGAACTGTCTCATTCTCCAAAGCCCATGTGAGTGATTGATGGCTGTGTTTTTGAGTATAAGGTATTGCATCTGTCATGAAGAGGTGGATGATCTGTAGCGCCTGAATGGTATCGCGCATAATAAACCTCTGGATTAATGAGCTCCAGCTGCTTACAGTGTTCAGAGAATCTTTGTTGTTTTTCATTTTACCCACTTCATCCTTTAGATTTTCAGAAGCATTGATATATGGGTTTACTCCTCACTGTTTAGCTTGGTTAGCCATGTAGCTCTAGAACATGACATTTTTTCCCATGATTTCAAGCAAATAAAAACTAATTATTTGTAGCTTAATTGGTTTAAAATATCATATATTTATCTTGGTTAATTATTTTTGTGTTTAATTGGTCACTATGTAGTTCTCCGGTCATTGCACCTCATATTGCGACAATATCTATTTATTATTGATGGAAATACACAGCTTTCCTAATTTAAACTTTAAAATCAACCCAGAAAAAAAAAGTTTCTCATTTTATTTTTTTTACTGCCTCTAAAGTCCATTGGATTTTGTGAAGTCATTTTACAGATTTTATTTTTTTCTGCAGTGTCATATTTGCTTATTATCTTCATTATTTAAATGCAGAATCTGTGAGCTGTGTTGTCCAAGTATTGATCGCTTTGTGCTGGGTTTTAAGAGGGTAGTAATTCATAGTGTATTTAAGCTGTCAAACTCAGTCACTTTCCATTAGGCGTTGACCTTAGATTTTTTCTTTTTTTTCTTTCCCTTCTACCCTCTTGATTTATAAACCCGAAGACCTGTAGTCAAGAAATTTCCTGTGTCCTCTGATTGCCTGCTTGGGTGTAACTGTGCGTTCAAGATGATATTAATATTCCAGACATGAACGATCCTCTATTAGCTTCAAAAACATATCACTCTGCTAAATCACAGTGGAAGGTTATAGAAAGACATGCTATAATATTGTCTCAGCTCTTGTAAATTTTACTTTAAAATTAAACAGTTCATTGATTTTTTTTTTTTTACTTATACCAATAGTCCACTGTGTGAAGTTGTTTAATTATGATCTCCCATCACTGCTATGGTATCCCAAATGTATTTCATGATACTTTTTATGTAGGATGCATGTTTAAACTAGGCATTTTCACCTGATTTGTAACATTTCTAATCCTTTTAAATGAATGTAGTAGACTTTGCATGGCATGTTATATGTTTTATTTGCTGTTTATAGAAATTTAGATATTTATTGTTCTGTTGGACTTTTTTTAAAATTTAACAGGTTTTTATGGACTGCATGAGGGAGATTTAGATAAAGTATTCAGACTGCCGACAACTACCTACATTGGGGGTAATGAAACTTCCCTGTCTCTGCGAGAGATCATTAGGAGATTGGAGGTAAATTATTTTTCTTTAAAGCAGAATATCATACATTTGAAGAAAGTACCAGACATCAGAAACTTTTCACATGTATATAAAAAAACAGTGGTATGCGTCCGCTTATGGCACCACTGATTTTTAATTGGCTAGAAATAGTTTAGCGATAATCAATAGAGTTTGTTCTACAGAATTGAAAGGCGGTGTATATAATAAGCTAAAGTAGACCTTTACAT